GCAGCCGTCCTCAGGTGAAGAACAGGTCTGTCGGAAAGAGAATTAATTTATTATGTTTTATTTTTATTATTTTATTATTTCCCTTCTACGTGACTTTACCGAAAGAACCAAGAAGAATTATAATAATGTTTCATTATATATAGGACGTCGGCGTTCATGCAAAGAGCATCTCAAAATCATTCAGGAGCCACAGACAAGCCTGTGGTGAAGCCTTCCTGCTTGCCCAAGCTCTGCAGTCCTCTATGTGTCAAGATGTTTTCCGCCAATGAATGAGTGTTTATTCACGCGGGAGGAAACCAGAGCACTGAGAGAAAACCGCACACGTGCGATGGGAAAAGACTCACACAGAAGGGACAGATGCACGCTTGGATTGACATTGATATACAGAAGTAGAAACATGGATTCTTCTTTTCTTGTTCGTCCATCATAGTTGATGATGACCATGGCACGTTTGTCATTAGAGAACGTATGTAATGTGGATCGGGCGTTGCTGCCTCGTGCTACGTGAATAAATCACGTGACCTACGCGTCTCTCTGGCAAACAAACGAAGCAGCTGCAAACCACGGACAGCCTTGATTTCATGTGATGGAACCTCGCTCAATGGAACTGTGCTGACCTCTACTGACTAGCCACGTGCTTTCCTGGGCTATTCTTACGTTGTGCAGAAATGTGCTCTCGCCAGCGATCGGCACACGCCTCCTGCGTTAGCGCTCGTGCTGGGATTTTAATCTTGGACGGAAGTTTTCGCTTTATGGCTTTCAATCGCTAGATATCGGTGTAAGCCCCTGCCACCACTTGCTCAGGCTGCTGCTGGTGGAAAGGCCTCCACTGTGTGTATATACAGTATGTATGTTTGCCGAACTTCTCTCGCACCGTACGTAGCCAACCGCGATAATCGGAGGTACGGGGGGGGGGACAACAAACTAAACACAAAACGCAGTTCTAAAGAAATGAGTTTTTCAACCGAGATTTAAAAGTACATCGAGCTAGAGTGAGGATCCATATTGTACCCCACCAGGCGATCGACTCAGCGAGGCGTACCGATTTATAGCTACTGGGTGATCAAAGGTGGGGGTGGATTCAAACGAAAATATTTTTTGTCTTAACTGCGGCGCTGGGAGATCGGATGGAGTTGAACCGGTGACCTCTGCATTGCAAGTGCAGCGTTAGTTTTACTCCAAGACACCAACAATATCAAATGCCCCCCCCCACCCCCTCCACACGATGACGTGCCACTTCAGTTCCTGGACACGAGAAGGGTGAGCGAGGCAGTGATCAATTGGGAAACGCAAGGCCGTAATCGTAAATCATTGTGACGGCGTGCCAGTCGGCGCGTATTAACTACCACTCGCAAGTGGTCTGCCCGAGTGAATAATGCATAACTCATTTCTTGTAACAAGGTAACGGCTTGAAGCGTTGAGCACTTCTCGTCAGCGCTTACGTTATATATACACACACACACACGACTACTCTCCCGTAATTATGGCAACTTCCCAACTGGTGTGCGACTGCGGTCATCCAGAACAGACCGTACAACGCACAGCGACGCAATGCGCCGATCCACAAATACGTCGCCTCGACAGACCTGGTTTTCACCTGAGGACGGCTGCTTGCGTTGTGGCCGAAACGTCGTGAGAATTATTTTATTAGGTTTTATTTGTATTATTTAATTACTTCCCTTCTACGTGACTTTACCGAGAGAACCAAGAAGATGAAGGAGACGTTCACGGCGATGCGCACTCCTAGCGGTGACGTTCAGATGGTCAAGCCCAGATAACCTGGCGCCGCGGTTCTGTGGGCATGTGAAATCGCAGTTGTTGTTCTGCATCCACATCATCTGGCGGTACGTGGTCTGGCCCAGCAAACACGGCAATGCTGGCCCAACGTTGTCGACTCAACGTCTGCGCGTGGTCCCAGACGTTTGGAGAACGTTGGCCCAACAATTCCACGTTTGGCCGGCTAATTGCTTCATTCTTGTCATTATTGTGCACTCATCAGTTCTCGCGATGTCTGCCAGCCTCTCCTTGCTGCTCACATACCTGTCAACCCCTTATCACAGTGCCCTACCTTATTACAGACCAAACTCAGACCTTGTTGGTCACCCCGTGCCGCCTTATAAATCTCAACGTTCATCCTACAAAATCGCATCGCAAGGGAGGAACACAGACACTTTTTTTGCCCGTATTGAAACGGCTGTACGCCGTATGGACCCGAAAAGTGAATTTCCCTGTACTAGGATACGGGGCGAACCGTCTGTGTTGACGGCTGTGTGGTCGTGTGACGCTACAGGAGGCACCCCACCTGTTTTAGCGATGCCATCAAATGTCGGCGCTCCAAATATAAACTACAGTTAGGTTGGCTGCATAGCGAAACAATAACGACATTATAATTAATTATAGCCCTGGTGTCAATCCACTGCTGGATCAAGGTCTCCCCCCCCCCACGACCATACTTCACCACGCCGGTCAGCGGATTAGGATTTATTTGCTCGTATCAGTGGTAAAACAAAACAAGTTCCCCAACGGTGAAGTGCTCCATTTGAGTGTGAGCACGTAACGGGCGTTAAATACGCACAGCGATGGCACAGGCCCCGAATTACAATGTGTCCTGTAAAAGGCACATTGCATGAAATGTCGCCTATTGGATATTTATTTCCACCTTTGAAGGCCGCGCACACAGTGTTAGTGGCACGTGTCGAGTTCTTGTGTTTGAATAACAAGTACGGCATCACAGTACTGCATCACAGCATTGAATGTTAACTATTATAGAGCAGTATACAGGGCAGTATATGCTTTTTTGTTTTTTTCGGTAAAGTCACGTCGGTAAAAAATAAAATAAAAATAAATTAAAATGAAAACAACTAAATTAAATCACGACGTTTCGGAAACAACACAAGCCTCCGTCTTCAGGTGGAACCGCCACAGCAAAATTGCTGTAGTGAATAAAGCGAGCTGTTTTAGAGAACCGTGATTATATAGGGTAAGCAACGTCGTGATTAAATTTAGTTGTTTTCATTCTAATTTATTTTTATTTTACTATTTACCTACGTGACTTTACCGAAAAAAACTTCAACGATGGATCCTTGCAGTCACGAAAACTTCAAATCTCGACGGGCAGTACGTGTCTGTAGGGGGCCGGGGGTCAAAGTTCGAGACACCGGGCAGCAGAGCCCCCCCGCCCCCACCACGCAGAGAGCCTCTCGCTTTCATGCGGCCCCTGCTGGCGAGCGCGGTGAGTGGTGACCTCAGCTCGCAATGCTGCCCCCCCCCCCCCCCCGTGGGGAGAACGGCGATAGACACCGCCGTGAACAGCGAATCGGAGGTGAGGGGGGGAAGTACAGAAAGACTAAAGACAAATAAATGCAAGCACAAAAAGCGGTGCATTTGTTCGTCGACGTTCACAAACTGCAATTGAGGTAGCCGATACAATTGTTTGTTGTTGTGTGTGCCTGTTTTTTGATGCCGTTTCTAAATTTGTGTATTCATTTATTTTATTTTGCTCGGTTGTAGTGTTTTATTTGCTTGGTTGCGGCTGTATATGGGATTTGGTCCTCGTATATAATTAATGTGCACATTTGTGGGATGCCATTATCATGAATGAGGCTATTAACATGACAACTGTATTCACTACTTGATTACCATTCAACACTTGTCTTTCTCCCACTTCTGACAATATAACACCGCGTTGTTTTAATTTGCCATGAGCATATTCTTCCCCTCTCCCCTGTATTATTGAAACAAAAGTTGGGGGTGCATCTTACAATCGGGTATCTGTCTGTGCGCTTGTGATCAGATCCGCATAACCACTGACAACGGGCGTAAGTGTGTGGGGAACATCTAACTATCCAGCAGCCTCTTGTAATCCGTAGAATACGGCAACAGTAATGTGCATACCCTCTATCTATTCACTGCATGTGTCGTGAGACGGAGGAATAGATTGATCGTCGTTTGGCCGTTGTCTGTCCATTGCTGGATGAAGGTCCATCCACACTGTGGCCATCCCTCGCAGCTGATCTCATCCCTCCACCTCCTGTGGTCGTCTTCCTCTTGGATGAATTATCTCTGCTTTGGCTGCCGTTCCAACGCCAGCCAGCCTCAACCTAATTTACGAGAAACATTTAGAACTTACAAACCGCCTCATCAAGCCACTGCGTGTGTCGCGAGCGTCGGAGTCAATGACAATCGATGGGTTTATTCTTACACGCATTACATCGCTTTAGCATGGAGGACGAAATTGGAACACCTAGAGAAAAATAACACACGTACAAAGGGATAACTTTCAGAGCTCCGCTACAGACAGATTTCAGGATCCTTTGGTCTGCTGCCATCTGACCACCACCACCAGCCCAGTGTGAAAACCCCCCAGTTGGTTGACTGCATTGCTGAGAAACTCGGCAAGTTGCCGATAAATCACAATGTGACATGAATACTCTGTTGGAAAACTTTCAATCTCTGGTCAACTTTAAAGACCTCGGTATCTGTGTAATGTGCTGATTTCAAGTCCCCATCTTGCATTGGAAAGTCGCCTCCTCCCAGCCTCGTACACGGGTGGATTTCCCCCTGTCTTAGAACGATCTTTGTTGACTCTTTGGGTCAGCATCCATTACGCACCAGCACTCATCCACTTTTGGGGTTATCTGCAATTCAGATTCCTGGAAAACAAATCATAAAACCCCAGCAACAAACATGTCCAATGTATTTGATTTACAAGAAAATAAACAAACCTATCTTATACAATTTGGAGTACGATTCCAGGAAAATGTAGTCACAAGCTGAAGGTCCCTGTGTTTCTCATGCCAGATTAGTTTTTTTTTTTGCTGGAGCGAGCCACGGCAACTTAGTTCTGGCCACCTTACACATTTCGAACTCGCTGAGAATCCAGGCCCTAAATTGTCTCTCTCCTTTGCCCTTCTTTTTTCTGCCACCTCCACCGGACTTCCCCCTCCCCCTCCCCTCTCCCACGTGGGTTCCGTGCCGTGTCCGCCGGCGCCGTGCCCCAGATGGTGGGCGACTCGTCGAAGGCGCGCCGCGAGGTGGAGCTGCACGCCCGCGCCTCGGGCTGCCCGCACATCGTGCGCCTCGTGGACGTCTACGAGAACACGAGTCAGGGCAAGGCGTGCCTGCTCATCGTCATGGAATGGTGAGTTCACCGGCCCATCACGCCCCCCCCCACCCTCCCAATCACTGTGCGTCGCACGCGCGGCCGCGCTGTGGCGGTCGGCACGCCGGACTTGCATGTTTGGATTTTCACGGGGGGGGGATGTTAACTCCCTCGCCTGGTATGCAGGAGGTTGTGACTGGCAGGGCGTGGGCAGCCCTTCGTGCCGCGGTCGTGAGTTCGATCACGACCCTGATGCCTGTTGTATATTTAGAGTTTTCGTGGTCTCTCTCTCTCTTTCTTTCCATGGTCGCGTGGATTTTTCTCCAGGTTCTCGAGTTTCCCCTCCACATTTACAATCGACACGCGTTTAGAGTATTTGGCTGCGATACATTTCCACGCGATACGCCACTTCGTTGAGCTATCATTTGTGGCCAGGTCGCTTCGAAAAAGAGCTACATAGTTCAGTGGGGCTTACCTGGTAAAATAAAAAAGCAGTTCATAGTTTAGATGATTGTGCAAATTTCGATTTAAAGCTTTCGTGACTGCAGGGATTCATCTTCTTGGTTCTTTCGGTAAAGTCACGTAGAAGGGAAATAATAAAATGAGGATGGCTGCTTGCGTTGTGGCTGAAACGTCGTGAGAATTGTATTTTATAATGTTTTATTTTAATTATTTTATTATTTCCCTTCTACGTGACTTTACCGAAAGAACCAAGAAGATGATTGTGCAAATCTCTTAAGTCGCCCTCGCCTCTGTCCACTCAGCAGAAATAAATTGTTCAGCCACGGGTCGTCGATGGACAGGCAGGTCGTGTGTGGTGGGGTCAAGTCTGGGGTCGTATCCCCCCTCTCCCAATACGTCTTGCCAAACAAAAAAATGGGCCTTCTAATGACTCTTGTTATTCCATTGGAACCTCATTTGCCAGTAAAAATATCATAATTGGTTTTTTACCCTTCTATCTGGCAACAAAACTGACACCTTTTTTTGACAAGGAGTCATGTTTACATAGACCACAATACCTGCAGTCATAATGCAAACAAAAGACATAACTCTGATAATGTGCACTGTCCTTGAAGTTGATTGGTCCACACCTGAGACAGCTGTCTCAGGGTGTGGACCAATCACTCTTGTTATTGTTATTAACATCATCAATGTATTTCCTCATCACAAACCCTTCACCAACCCGCACTGACCAGCATGGGCAAAGTTCGGTTATGCCGCCCCATGACTGGCACGCGTGGGCAGCCCTTCGTGCCGCGGTGGCTTCAACATGTGGCCGCAAACGATTATTGCCGGTAGCGGTTTCGCGCAGGGCGCTGTTAGCCTGCCAAAAACCGAGTTACGTTCCAAGCCGAGGCTTACGTCAGCGACGCGCAATGTCAGAAGCAGGGGTTTACCCTCCTTCACGAACCCGCATTGACCAGCGTGGTGAAGTACGGTTACAAAAAATAATAACACCAGCCCTGTGGTCGACAGCACGTTTGGAAGCCTTCGTCCATAGGTGGATTGAGAATGGCTGGAATTTATTTTTATTTTATTTCCACAAGTATTTATATATAGCTACGAAGGACACGTCCCAAAACAATATGCTGGATTGCATTCTCCTCCAGGCTAAATAAAGATTCAGATTCTGGAGAGGAAAATAGCCACAGTCAAACTCGTTTCGACGTCTGCATCGGTGTTCGTGGTCGTGCCGTGCAGCAGCCTGGCGCCTTTTCGTGCTGTGCCGCGCGTCGTTCGGCGCGATGTCCGACGTTCCGTGGAGCTCCTCGAGCAACTTCAAGTGGGTAGTCTCTCAACTCATTTCGACTCGCAATTTGGCGCACGTCCGCCTGGCATCACGTTCCCCGCCACCGGCTCTGAAGTCACCGCGCCGTCTTTCCCGAGCGTTACATCCAAGGCCGTGTCGTACTGGGAGTCCCCGAGAACGATGTGGCGCTGTTGGCGAAGGAATCTCTCTAAGTAATGAGCTGTGCGGTGCAGCCGACGGTGGTTGGAACGCGTTTGCCGTGTGAGCGCCGGATTCTGAATGACCGGGAGCTCAATCGGACGTCTGCGAAAAATATCTTCATAGCTCATCGGACTCCTGTAGCCTAAATAACAGATTCTGATTGCGAGATGCCACGGGGGTGCTCAGGAAGGCGATGAGCCTGTCAGCCGATTCTGCGTCGTAATGTGCCACTGAGATTCTCCCGATTTCGTTACATATCCTCGCCAGGTTAGCCGGTTTGCATGAACTAAGATGCAAACCATGTTCTCAAGCGATATAGGTTTGTGATAGTCGGGGCCTTGCAAAGATCCATTCAATAAAAGTCAAAGGTGCAGCCCTGCAATTGCTCATTTTGTCCCTCCCCCCCCCTCCCAAACCAACCTTGGTCACGGTTTTTTTTCGATCCACTCAGCAAGGTGACACTCATTTTTAACTAATACAAATTTGCTAAACCGGAAAGCAATTTTTTTAAACTATAAAGAAAACTTGAATAACCTATCCCCTTGAAAACATGATTAGATTTCGTAATTTAAGTGTTTTCTCACTAATTGGATTGGAGCGCATTGTAATGATATGAAAATCAATTTGACACGCCATTAGTAGTTCGCTTAAGTGTTCAAAATGGAGTATGTTGACACTTTTCAATCAGATAACAATTCACTTTGCTATACTATTTCCTGCCATTTTTACTAATTAAAAGCCACGGTTAATACTGGTAGGAACCACCTGGTTCCACCAGCCCACAGGGGATTATTGTGTCCGTCCGTCGTGCATTCAAAAATGGGAGAGGTGGGGCTGGGTGGAGAGGGGAGGGTTGGGCTGGGTGGGGGGTGGGAGGGGTGGGGCTGGGTGGGGAGGGGCTGATCACCCCTTGGTGCCCTTATAAAACTCAACGTTTAACCTACTCACGCCGGCTTGTGCCCACCCTCAAAGTCGCCCATATTTGCGGAATACACCACGCCGCCGTTGACCCTGGCCATTGACCGAGCAACCCAACGTTCCTACCAGCTCCCTCCGCAGGAATGTGTTTTGATTTGGGAAAACCAAGCCAAGGAATGGGACGTCTCTGAGAGTATAACAAGAGATGGAGCGACGGAATCGGCTCGTGTGCAGGTGCTATCTGGATTTCTACGTATCGCAGGATCGTGAGAGATGGCAGATGCTGGGAGAGGCATGTATCCAGCAGTGGAGAGACCATGTCTCACGGGGTTAATTTGAGAGGTAGGGATAACAGAAGCAGTGGAGGGCCTTTCACACAGGCTCATGGCCACTGCTGAGTTAAAGATCATCACGATGTGTTTATGTTGAACTTCTTTCGTATTGTACTTTTCCAATCGGGCTAATCAGTGGCACGGGGGGAAGGACAACACAACTAAGCACAAAACGCAGGTCTAAAGAAATTAGTTTTTAATCGAGATGAGTTAAAGGTGCATAGCTCCAGTGGCTTCCTAATGTCAGACGGAAGAACGTTCCAGACGGGCACAGAAGCACGCGACGTATGAATGCGAATTGTGTTACAGTCGTCAACTATGAATCAACTGTGAGTTACTGACTTTTAGGAAAAACATCAGGCTGTGGACAAAATCGCTACGTGCCCGAGCTCATGTTGTTTTTCTGCTAGCAGCGTTTACAAAAAAAGAAATCAATCATCTCTTACAAACAAACACGCATCATTTCTGCATAAATCTGGCGGGAAATGTGATTCGACTCCAGTAAGCTTTTTCTTTTTGCCGACCCCGGCAAAAGAGGCAATTCACCATCAGCGGATGAGTTTTGAGTCGTCGCGGGCAGAGAAAACTCGGAATTGGGAATTGTCATCGTTGGTCACGAGCTAGCGTGGTTACGGGAGCTGCCCCGTAGCGAGGGCTGACCACCACGTGATGCTGCACGGTGATTGTTGGCATTTTCCAGCAACGGGGAAAGAAAAAAAGTTAAAACGTCGTTGGAACTTGGTGTGAAAATATCCTCCATAATGCATAGGTTGTCGTTTTTGAATATCAAGGAGATTAATTGTAATATTTTTTTATCTCTATTTTATATGTTCTGTTTCACAGTGACGTAGACCCACTGCTGACGCAGGGCGACGTTTCACTTTAAGCTGTCGTTTAGTTTGCGAAGGAATTAATTCCACTTTAAGGTTAATGGAAAAACGTTCCGTTTGCGTTATGAAAATCTAGACATTTTCGTTTCCAAGTTGACGTTGCTCCTTTCATTTGATGGTTATATTTAATATTTCATAATCTTGCTCTTTATAAGTTTTTAATTTTCATGAAATGGTTCGTCAACAATTGTTAACTCACGTTCACGAACCTCATCTGTAATACTATGCAAAAACTATTTTTTGCTATTTTCCACATATAGAAGATGTAGCACGGGTTTTTGTTAGCTAATAATATAATTTCTGGTGTATGAAGACGAGTTCTTCACAATAAAGGTTTTTGCGTTCGATCGCGTAAGTATGTGTCGTAACCCCTCCACCACCCTACACAGCCGGTACGGTTTGTCACGTAACAACAACGAGCCAATCAGTTTACGACTTCAGCCCACCGGTGTGTTGGAGAAGTAAATACACAACATTTACAATTTGAGTAGTTCGACGTTTCGCTGGTAACTACATCAACCGGCGTCATGTGGCGAATTGTGACGTGGTTCTATCCGCGTGCGTTTTTGCCGGCGAGGCAGAGGTCGCAACCGGTTACCCGATACCCGTACCCGTACCCGATACCCGGCTACCCGTACCCGGCCAGGTACGGGTATGGGTAACCGTTTGCGACCCTGGTGCGGCCGGGTACGGGTACGGGTAGGCCGTGAGTCACCGGTGAGTCATCGTTTGTCACTCATTTCGGGTAGGGTACGGGTACGGGTAGGGAACGGGTACCCGTACCCGGCCGGGTACGGGTAAGGAATCAAAACCCGTTTGCGACCTCTGCGCGAGGCTTCTGTCATTGAAACGAGCAGCAGCGCGTTTCTTGGCCGTGTTGCAGCACAACATCGCCAGCGGGGAGACAAAGGCGGCCCCGGGCGTGGTGGTGCTGTCCAACCCGCCCCG